CCCCCATTTGCTGCTCTAACATCCTCCAATCTTCTGGAAAGGCTTTTCACAAGATTTCAGAGTGTCTGTGAGAATTTGTGCCCATTTGTGAGGTCAGGCGCTCATGTTAGATGAGAAGACCTGGCTCACATTGGGTGTTCCCATTCATCCCAAAGGTGTTCAGTAGGGTTGAGGTCAGGGCTCTGTGAATGAAGCCTGAGTTTCTCCACACCAAACTCATTATACTATGTTGGATGAGAAGACCTATCATGCAATCTGGTTCCAATTCATCCCTAAGGTGCTCAGTAGGGTTGAGGTCGGCGCTCTGTGCGGGACACTCGAGTTCCTCCACACCAGACTGGTCACACCGTGTCTTTATGGAGCCGGCTTTGTACACAGGGGACAGTCATGGTGGAACAGAAACTGTTACCACAAGGCTGGAAGAGCACAATTGTCTACAATGTCTTTGTATTCTGTAGCATTAAGAGAACCCTTGACTGAACCTAATCTTCCAGTGTGGAGAAACCTGCGTGTCCTGACCTCAACCCCACTGAACACCTTTGAGATGAATTGAAACTCTAATGGTGAGCCAGATCTTCACATCCAGCATCAGAACCTGAACTCACAAATGGGCTTAAAATCCCACAGACACCCAACGAAATCATGTGGACATCCTTCCCAGATGGATTGGATGAGAAGGATTGTACGCTAGGTCTTCTCATTCAATATGGTTTAACATATTTGGTGTGGAGGAACTCGGGTGTCATGCACAGAGGCCTGATCTCAACCCTACTGAACACCTTTGGGATGAACTGGAACACCCAATGCGAGCCCGGTCTTCTCATTCAACATCAGTACTTGACCTCACAAATGGGACAAATTCACACAGACACTCCAACATTTTGTGTCAAAGCTGAAAATATGGGCCAACTCCATATTACCAGCCATGGTTTGGATTGTGTGGACCAACAAGCTCATATAAGAGCGATGGTCAGGTGTCGACAAACCCTCCAATGTACATCCAGAAGAGCAGGAGACATATTTATTACAATGTACAAAGTTGCTGGTTTAATTTCAGATCAGATGAAATGACTGTTATAACAGCGAGTGTAACAAATGGCGCGGGTCTTCGCCATCGTTATCCGACAGAAGAGACACTTAGAACTGAACCTGCCTCATTCACACTCAATGAATCCCAGCAAAGGTTAGCCGCCTTCGGAAACGCCGGCCATTGCCATTTCGGCCCTACGTCTATCAGAGCCGCGTAGTGCGCAGTAACGGGATAACAGTCCTCCGCAATCCATTAATTACCCGACTGATGTTGTAATTAATTATTTTTTCCCCGCCACTAATTCATTACCGCCCGTTAATTGCGAGTTTTGTTTTATTAAAAGGTGCAAATAACATAGATTGTAAAAGCCGCTGGAACGCGACCTGCTTTATGAGGAAATTAAGGTTTAACAGCGGGTTCTTTAATGGCGCTCTCCGATCAATCGCCTTTGTCAGCCTTCCCGGGCACGCTTAATGGGGCAGAGCCGGCAATCTGCGTACGGCTGTTCATGGCGGTTATAAAACAACGACGCCAGTAAATCCTCCGCTTTCTGTTTATTCAAATCGACATCGCGTTTTTTTGTATTTTTTATTTTCTCGCAGTGCGTCATCTGGATCTGCTGTGAGGTCTTTTGGCGGCCGAGGGGTTAACCGCGCGCTTTTGTGCAGATAACGTATGTTCCCGGGCAGAATCCGGAGTTATCAGACAAAATCTGATTATTTTAAGCGGCTTTGCTGCAACATCTGTCTGTCGCACAAAAAGCACAGCGCCGTATAATTCAATGTCGGACAAGGACGGAGGGGATTAGAAGGAGGGATGAAGTGCGGGAGGAAGAAGTTGCTTTAGATCAGTGGCGTAACAATAGCCATAGCAGCCCGTGCAGCTGCTATGGGGCCTGGGCGTGGAAGGGGGCCCTATTAAGGATTGCAGAAGATGCTGTTGCCACTGACCCTGTACCCCCTGTAACATTTCCCATCAAGAGCTGACAAAATGTACAGGAGGAGACAATGCAGACAGCTCTCCTGCTACCTAACTTTCAATGACAGTAGGGAGGTCGCTGAGGGGCCCCATCAAAATTTTGCTATGGGGCCTCATGATCTAAAGTTGCACCCATGCTTTAGATATTATGGGTGGAGCAAGATGGATGACATCTGATGATACTTAGATCAATATGGAAGTTCCAGGGTCTGACCTCCCTGACACAGCCAAACACTAGGGTGGACTTTCATTTCATGGACCTTGGAAAGTAACTGGAGCATCCAAAGGACCTTAATGTAAGCATGGTGACAACATGCAATCAGGTGTCCCTGGTGGATATGGAACCCAGGATCCCAACGTTGCATATCCAGCGTGGTCATCACTTAGTCACTTTGGTTCTGTATTGGGCAGCCGCTCTCTCTCATAGAGCTATGGGGGGCTCAGAGAGATGGGAGGCAGCCACAGGCTTAGATCCAGGGCCAATCAGTATGCAGCTTTCCTGCACAGAGAGGTCAAGGCCGGAAGGTTTTGAAGGCCCATGAATGCCCTGACCCCTGACCTTAGGGTGCCATTCAGCTTGATACACCCCCCCCCC